CCCCCCCCCCCCCCCACACACACACACACACATACACACACACACACACTTTCACTCACATCCGTTTATGGATAACGGGAACAAACACAGAAATTGCCGGAGAAAGTCAGCCAGTCCGGCAGCGTCCGTGGAGAGAGAAATCGAGTTAACATTTCAAATCCAGGATGAATCTCTTCCGAACATCAGCGCTGAAGCAAAGCCGGACCCCAAACCTGAGTTGTTGCAGCATTCTTTGTGTTCGTTTCAGATTTCCAGCATCTGCAGGATTTTGCCTTTATTCCTCTGGATAGCAAGCATCTCCTTTACCTTCCCAGAGCACGGTTACTCTTCCATTTTCTGATGTCTGCCTCAGAAAACGTGTTAGTTGTGACAAAGTATTAGAATGTTAGCTCTCTTTCTCTCTCCACAGACACCCCCGGACCTACTAAGTTTCTCCAGTGCTGTCAGTGTTTGTTTTGGAAAACATCTTCAGTTGTCCACCGGGGACAAGCTCTTAAAGGGTATTGTCTCACAAAAGCCATGGCCTAGCCCCATGACCACTGCTATCTCCTGCCTGACCCCCTTCAGCCTTGTCGCTGTGACTGGAGACTTCCTACTCGCGAAAGTGTGGGTGCAGGGGTAAATGGGAGGAGGCTGATAATGGGTGGGAACTGTCTGCCTCCCCGGCAAGAAAGCTAAGCATCAAGGCCAAGAAGCAGAAACTGAATAGAAAAGACCTCAAACAAAACCAGAAAGTCCTGGGGAAACGCAGCAGGTCTGGCAGCATCTCCGCAGAGAGAGAGAACGAGTCAACATTTCGGGAATAGGGTTCTGAAGAAGTGTCACCGGACCCAAATCGCTAACTCTGCTTTCTCTCTCCAGACGCGCTGAGTTTCTCCAGCTATTTCTGGTTTTGTCTCAGATTTCCAGCATTTTATTCTAAAGAGAAGGCCTAGTTTCTCCTGCAATTGCTGGTTTCTTTTCTCTCTTTTTCTCTCTCTCTCTCTCGAGATGTTTGTGCAATCTTTCTTCCTGCTACAGTGATCATTTCACTTTCTTTTGTACGTCAGCTATCCTTACACCCACTAGCCTGAGCAGACAGACTTGATGTGAAATGCCCCATGTGAGTGAACCCAGCTGATGTCTGTAGTGTTTTCAGATGGTGCTTGTTGTTCTAAAAGGATGACTGTTTGGTGTTTGTTTTGCCAACTGTGTACTTGGTCCATTTCTCCCCACCTCTTGTTCCACCTTGCGACATAATGAAGAAAACCCATAACGTTAGTCTTGCCTGCTGTTGCTGTGTTGATATTATTTAGTTCTGTTTATTTGCGCTTGTTTTGTGAAGGGTGTGTGTTTATCTTGTTCCTCCTCTCCCGGCCCAGATCAGCTTTAATGTATTTCAGGACAAAAGAAATCCACTCTGCTGTGTCCACACACAGACTGGTGTTACAGACAGAATTGATGGTGCTGTGTTTCTGTTCTTCGGTGAGGCTAATGATTGGGTGAAAAGCCAGGATGGGGATCATTCCCGGCTCCTCTTATGCTTTAAATGCTGCTTGGTCCTGAACTACATTAAAAAGAGAGATTTGATTTTTCTTCGGTTTGGAAGGTTTAACCGAAGGGACAACAAGCGCGCTCACTCTGCCACTTGTTTTCTTCTCTTTGTTGCAGGTCATTCACTGAGCAATGGACAGGACACCAGCACGATGGATACTCTACCACTTAATGGGAACTTCAACAACAGCTACTCTATTCGGAACGGGGATTTCTCCAACGACAGCGTGCAGGCGCTGGACTGCGGCTTGAGCCTGGGCGACACGGCTTTCGAGAAGATGATCATCTCCGAACTGGTACACAACAACCTCCGGGGCAGCCACAAGGCCCAGAACCTCGAGCGCAGCCTGCCGACCAAGATGGCCGCCACCGACCGAGGCCTGCCTGCCAAGATGGCCGCCGTCGTCGCCAACAACAACAGCAGCAGCAGCGAGGACGACGCCATCGTGGCCGACGCTTCGTCCCTGGCACGCGGAGACCGGCCCGGCCAGACTCGGCAGCCTGAGCTAGAGGCCCCGCTGATCCCTCAGCGCACCCACTCCCTCCTGTACCACCAGCAGAAGCGCGCCGAGCCTGAGGCCGAGGCAGCTGAGCTTACTGCCAAGGCCCAGGACTCGGTGCAGTCGCCCAACAGAGACTCCCTATACACGAGCATGCCGAACCTGAGGGACTCCCCATATCCACAGAGCAGCCCAGAACCAGAGGAAGATCTGTCGCCCTCCAAGAGGAGCGAGAACGAGGACCTTTACTACAAAAGCATGCCCAACCTCGGTGCTGGGAACCAACTGCAGACATATTATCAAATCAGCAGGGGCAACAGTGACGGATATATTATTCCCATTAACAAGGAAGAAGCTATCCCAGAAGGCGATGTGAGGGAAGGACAGATGCAACTGGTAACTAGTCTTTGAAACATATTCGCTCAAAAAAAACTCAACATTTTAAAAACAAAATCACAGAGATAAGGACCTCTGATAGGTGCCACCCCACGTATCTACCTGAATGGAAAGTGCAGCCACTGTGGTGCTTTTTAGATTGTACAGGAACACAAAGGAAAAAAAAACAGCTGGCTCCTGCAACTCTGTCGCGAAACAGGGAAAGGACTCTCTGGCAACACGGAAGCCATCTTGTTCCGTCACAAACTGAACCAGAAAAGTCACTGGGGGCGCTCTGCGTCCTTGTGCTGATGCTTTGGGAGAACTTCTGGCTATTCCAGTGCAGCTGTTTTTGAACACAGTTGTGTGTGTGTGTGCGCATGTGTGTGTGTGCACATGTGTGTGTGTGTGCGCATGTGTGTGTGTGTGTGTGTGCCTGTGTGTGTGTGTGTGTGTGGGCGCGCGAGTGTGAGTGCGTGTGTGTGTGTATATATAAATATAAATATATATATAGAGTTGCACCTTGCATTCCTCAAGCCCTCCACTTCCTACCCAGTCCAGTGGGTCAGGGAGCCAGCCAACGATGGGAAGACCTTGCAATAGTTGTGTGTAATACCTTAATTGTCCTCCCGAGAGAGGCTTTGTTGAACGCAGAGATGAACTGTGCTTCACTGGCTGCTTTTCTTAAAGGGCCGGTCGTCTCCTCCCTGATTTGTGAATGGAGACCCCCATCCAGCCAATAGCAGCCCAGCCACAGGCCTTACACATCACGTTCATTATTCAGCTGTACAGCTTATCTGTTCTCACTGAGAAAAGGCTAAAGAAAATATATATTTTGTTGTATTGCTATTGTAAAATAAATCGAATACATTGTCAGACCTGAGAATTTTAAACAGAAGAAGTTCGATGAAAATATTGTGTGAAACTCCCGGATTGCACATATGATGAAAAAATGTGTTTCTGTTCTTTCATTTGCGACTTGTCCACCATGCAGATCGAGCCAGAAGCGTTCCCCCCTCTTTTTCTTCTTTTTAAATCCATTGTTCTCGGTTTTTTAAGGGAAAGCCTTTCTTCCTGTTTCCCTGAATTTGCTGTCTGTAACGATTTATTATTTGGCCAAATGAGTTGTGCCCCTTCAGTCTTCGTTGAGTCATTCAAACCAGTTGTGCCAAGTCTGATGAGCGCAATTAAATCAATCTCCATTTATTTTGACTGTAATATACTTGATGGGGTGAGGGGTGGGAGGGGATGGTTGGGGGATTGGTAGATACAGTTTTTTTTTTCGAGCGTGGGGTGGGGAGGTGGGGGTGATGAATGGAACTTTTCTTTTTGAAGTCTCACCAAATCAGTCTGGTCCAGCCAATTTGAAAAGCAGTTTGAATCCCTGGATGATGAGTGTTGCCAGGTTAATGTTGTGACCACAAGAATTTATTTATTTCTCATCGCCTGCGATGCAGGGTTTGTACGATCCCGACACAAATTTGCTTCAAGGTATAATTTCTTTTTCTGTATTTCGTATTAATAACGAGACCCCCCCACCTGCCTAATACCTGATGTAAAGTTTAACACTTCTTTGACAGTAAATAAATGTGAGAATTTTGCAAATAATCGAATTGAGAGAGGCTCTTTTCTCTTTCCCTGCTGTTATGTCGACTAGATTGAATATCGAAGAAGGAAAATCCAGTGAATGATGCATGAGAAGTGGCAACACTGTGGTAATGTTGCTGGGCTAGGCCCCACCCAAGGTAATGTTCTGGGGACAGGAGTTCAGATTCCACCCACAGCAGAGGGTGAAATTTGAATTCAGTGGATAAACTCTGGAATTAACACAATGGATGAAAACCTATCAGATGGGGAAGTTGTTGTTCAAGTGTGCCCGACACGCGATTCTAGATTCACAGCAATGGGGTTGACTCTTACATGCCCTCTGAACTGGCTCGGACAACCAATCATCCAAGCAAACTTGGGATGGGCATCAAAGGCTGGTCCTGCCTACGATACCCGCATCTCATGCAAGGTTAAGAAAATTGCTGCTCAGATTTGTAGACTTCAAAAAGGGGGGGTCAAATGTGCTCACTTACTGGTTTTTCCCTCTGGGTGCGGTGGCTCAGTGTGTAACAGACTGGCTGTGAAATCAGAAGGCCACGGTTTTACAGTCCAGTTCTGGAATCTCGGCTGACACTCCAGTGCAATTCCGAGGGAGTGCCGTGCCGTCAGAGGTGCAATGGTGGACTGAGGCGCTGTATGTCAAGCGCTGTGTACATAACAGATCCCAGGACACCACTTTGAAGAGGTTCTCTGTTGTGTCCAAATGATCCTTTAAACCATTTCACTGAAATAGACCCATCACACATTTGCAGGAGCTTGGTGCTTACACAGCAGCCACTACTTTACAACCATGACTACATTTTGCAAATCCTTCGCTGGTTGCAAAGCACTCTGGGGACAGTCTGCAGACATGAAAGAGACTGTGTTATTAAAGCTAAATCTTTTCTAACATTTAACATTGCCTGCTGTCACGTCCCACAAGCTCTGACTTTGGTTCCTCTTTCAAAAGACCATAATCAAGAGCTGAAATAGAGTTAGACAGGTCTACAGCATGGAAGCAGGCCCTTCGGCCCCACATGCCCATGCCGCCCAGTTTGCCCATGCCTCACAAATAGTTTGGAGTAGGAAGCCATTGCCATGTGGAAGCTGACGTCACTGCCGAGCCCGTTCCCGATTGTCTACACTCTGATGTAGAATGGAAACCATGGCGGAATTTTCTATGTTGCCCTACTGGCTGCTAATTCCATCTGAGGCCCTGACCCTTTCTGTTTTTTTATCAGGAAGAATTTCTCTTAAAACCTGATGAGAATTGGGTGCGTCCTGCAATACACTGAGCGTTGTGGAACAATAAAATGAAGGCTCGGCATGGTTACAATGCACACGTTTGTTAGAAAATATCTTTGCATTTGAAATTCTTCCTAGCCTGGAGATGTTCTCTTAAAAGCGGCATATCCCAGGAAATTAATTTTGGCATTAATTACAAATGGCCCATTGAGCTCAAAATTTTAATTACAGCAGACATCTTGCATTACCATTTAATGCAATTACCATTACATTAAACGGTAGACTATTTCGGGGGATCATTTATTTACAGAGAAAAAGTCAATTTTGGAGTCCAAACGAAAATAATATTCGTAATGAATGTTTCCAGTTTCACAGCCCTTTGCAAATTGGTGCATAATTCCAGGGAAACAGGCCAGATTAATCTGAGGTGAAACTGTGATTAAGAATAATAGATCGGGTGTGTGTTCAGTGTTGGTCTGCATTGGGAGACTTTAACTTGGGTATGGGTTCAGAAATCATGGAGTGGTGAGTGGGAAGGCTGGGTGTAGTGGCCACCAAAGTAAAAGGAAAAATATACCAGGCCTATATGCCCAGGGCAGGGTTGCATCACCTGGCAATGATGGGAAGCCAAATGAAGTCAATAATTAGGCAACTAAGTACAATCTTCCACCCACACAGAGCAAGCCCTATTTGTGTCAGCAATTGTGAGGAATTGGCGCCACAGTGGGAAGTTGGAGTGGCATTGAGTCTAAACTTTTAACAGCAAAAGAAATAAATGACAAGGCTGATATCAACTGCTGGCAAAGACTTTGCCATCGCATGCGATTTGAAGTTTCCGATTGTGTTGGGGTGACTCACTTGGAGGTACTACTGTCAGATACTGATCATTCTTCCATTTCTTCACCCACCCATCAATGTGTTTTAATTATTCATTCGTTGGATGCTGACCAGCATTTATTGAGCATTCCCTAACGGCCCAGAAGTGACTACCACATGGCTGTGGGTCTGGAAACACATAAATGTTTCCTCTCCTGAAGGGCATTGGTGAACCAAATGTTTTTTGTTTGCAACAATTGGTGGTGATAACATTTGCCGTTTAATTCCAGTTATTTTATTGAATTCAAATTCCACTATCTGCCGTGGCGGGATTCGAACCCCAGTCCCCAGCACGTTGCCTGGGATTTCTGAATTGCTGGTCCACTGACATTGCGCCTCCCAGTTTGGGTTTCTTTTGGCAGCAGTTTCACTGCAAACACAGTGAAGGCTGTTAGCCACCCTTGCAATGGGAGTATGCTGATTCAAACTCTTGCCTCCGATGGCTGCCCACCATCACTGAGCGAACAGCTATCTCTCAGGCAGGATTCTCAATTGGCCATAAGGTCAAACTGGAAAGCAGGTTACCACTGCCAAGTGGATTAACCCACCACTGGTCCCAAAAACCAACAAATCTGGAAAGTTTTGCTTCATGTTTGGAAAAGAGTACAAAGACACTGGAGAAGGTGCAAAAGGTAAATGAAATGGATGAGACGTTTCTGACCGGAGGTCTCTGACCAGAGGTATTCCAAAAGGATCAGTGCTGGACCCTCTGTTGTTTGTAATATATATAAATGACTTGGATGAAAATGTAGATGGCCTGATTAATAAGATGACATGAAAATTGGTGGAGTTACGGATATTTAGGAAGATTGTCAAAGGATACAGCAGGATATAGATCAGCTTGGGGGGAGAAATGGCAGATGGAGTTTAGTCCGGATAAGTGTGAGGTGATGCATTTTGGGAGGTCAAATGCAAAAAGAAAGTATTCAGCAAATGGCAAGACCCTCAGGAGCATTGATATACAGAGGGATCTTGGGTGCAAGTCCATAGCTCCCTGAAAGTGGCAACAGAAGTGGATAAGGTGGATATAAAATTGCATACAGCATGCTTGACTTCATTGTTTGGGGCATTGAGTAGGAGAGTTGGAAAGTCACGTTGCAGCTGTATAAAACTCTAGTTCGGCCCTATTTGGAATATTGTATGCTGTTCCGGTCGACACACTATACAAAGGATGTGGAGGCTTTGGAGAGGCTGCAAAAGAGTTTTATCAGGATATTGCTTGGAGTGGAGTGTATTAGCAAAAGCAGAAGTCGGACAAATTTGGATCGTTTTCATTAGAGTGTTGGAGGCTAAGGGCCGATCATAAAAGGAATATATAAAATGATGAGAGGCATGGATAGGGTGGAAATGTCAAATACTCGGGGGCATAGGTTTAAGGTGAGAGAGGGAAAGTTTAAAGGAGATGTGCGAGGCAAGTTTTTTTACAAAGAGGGTGGTAGGTGCCTGGAAGTGGTAGAAGCAGATATGATAGAAAAGTTTAAGAGGCATTTAGACAGACACATGAACAGGCAGGGAATAGAGGGACACGGACTCTATGCTGGCAAATGGGATTAGTCTAGAATGGCATCATGGGCAGCACAGATGTGGTAGGCTGAAGGCTGAGCTCTGCTGCATTTTATTTTATGAGACTGGAACTGAGGAATTGGAACAAATTGAGCAGGTTTTGACTTTCTGAAAAATAGATATGAGGTGACTTGATGAGGATCTTTTAGGCTATTACGGGTTTCAGTTGTCATTATAAGACAGTCACCAGTAAATCCAATAAGAAATTCAGGAGAAACATCTTTACTGATAGATAGAGTGCTTAGAATGTGGCACTTGAACTTGCAAAGATTAGTTTTTTAATCTTGTATGGGATGTGGGCATGACTGGCAAGACCAAAGTTTGTCGCCCATCCCTAATTGCCCTTGAACTTAGTGGCTTGCTAGGTCATGGCAGAGGGCAGTTAGCAGTAGTAATGTCAGTGTCATTTAAACATGCGCTGAGTGTTGGTGATATTGAGGTACCAGCAATAATAACCTTTATCTGTATCATTCAATATGATAAAATGCCTGACGTTGCTGCGTGGGAGCACAATCAGGACAAAGTTGATAGCAAGCCAAAGATTGAGACATTAGGACAAGTTTGGCCAAAATAGTGTCATGGAAATACTACAGTGCGGAAGCAGGCCATTTGGCTCATCAAGTCCACAACAACCTTCCAAAGATCGTCCCACCCAGACCTAACCTCTTGCCTTTCCCTGCATTTCCCATGGCTAATCCACCTAGTCTGCATATCCCTGGGCACAATGGGCAATTTTGCATGGTCAACCCACCTAATCTGCACATCTTTGGACTGTGGGAGGAAACTGCAGCACCTGGGGGAAAGCCACACAGATACAGGGAGAAAATACAAACTTCACACAGACAATTACCCGAGGCTGGAATCAAACCTGGGTCCCTGGTGCTGTGAGGCAGCATTGCTAACCACTGAGACACCATGCCATCCCCCAATATGTTCAGCAGGAAAAGTTTGAGGA